ACCCTGATGGACCACTTTCTTGATTTTGAACCATCCATTGTCTCCCTGCTCTGTTCTGATGACTGCCTCTTGGTCCAAGTATAGGTTTCGCATTAGCATGATCAAATGTTCTGGGATTCCCATTCTTCTCAGAGTCAGCCACAGCTTGTTGTGATCCACAAAAGAAGTCAAAAGTTTTTGCACAGTGAATGAAGCACAGACATTCTTTTGGTATTATTTGCTTTCTGCCAAGATCCATCTAACATTAGCTCTAATATCCATAGTACCACGACCTCTTCTAAATCCAGCCTGCACATCTGGCAGTTCTCTGTTGACATATTGTTCCAAATGTTTTTGGAAAATTTTCAGCAGAATCTTGCTTGCATGTGATATTAATGATATTGTTCGATAATTTCCACACTCCGTTGGGTCACCTTTCTTTGGAATGGGAACAAATATCGATCTTTTCCAGTCAGTCGTCCAGCTGGCTGTTCTCCAGATTTCTAGGCACAACTTAGTGAGCACACCCAGGGCAATGTCTGTTTGTTGAAATATGTTAGAAACAGTAGAAGAAGAAATTATGCCTTTGAGTTGTGATGCTGGAAGAGAATACTGAATGTTCCATACAATATCCTGCATAAAGTGAAGCCAGGGTGCATCTTGGAGGCAATAATGGTGAAGCTCCATCTCATACTTGGGGTATAGTGTTAAGAGGGGATAGTCTTTGGAGAAGGACATGTTTGGGAATGTAGGGGGCCAGTGTAAGAGAGGAAGACCCTCAACAAGATGGATTGACACAGTGTCTATAACTATGGGCTTAAGTGTGTGGGAGATGATGAGGATGCACAGGATAAGACAGGGTTCAGATCTATTGTTCATAGGGTTGCTTTGAGTTCTAGTTGACTCAATGACACATAACAAAAACAGGTGTTGTTGTTGTTGTTGTTGTTATGTACCATCGAGTCACCTGTGACCCATAGTGTAGAACAGCTCTAAACCCTTCCCTTTCCTGAGCCAGTCTCACTAATTCTGACACATCAACCCCCATTATCCCAGTTGCTCTATCAATCCATCTCATCCAGGATCTTCCTCTCCTGCACTGTCTGTCCACCCTCTGAACATGATGTCCTTCTGGACAAGTCTCTTCTGGCTATGTGCCCAAAGTTTGTGAGACAGAGCTTCAAAATCCTAGCCTCCAAGTAGAAACTTAGTTTCATCCTCTCTAAGTCAGACCTATTTGTTTTCTTGGGAGTCCATGGTATGTTCTAGACTTTTCTCCAGCACCACAGTTCGAGGCATTGATTCTTCTTCTGTCATCCTTAGTTATTGTCCAGCTCTATGATGCAGAAGAAGTAATTGTGAACACCATGGCCTGGATTAGGCATATGTTTGTCTCTAGATTGACATCATTGCTTTTAGTACTCTGGAGAAGTCCCTGACAGCAGAATTTCCCAGTGCAGTTCACCTTTTTATTTCCTGACTGCTGGTGCCAAGAGTGTTGATTGTGGAGCTGAGCAAACTGAAGTTGTTAACAACCTCAATTTCTTCTCTATCATGCTGCTGACAATTGGCCCCATGGTGAGAATCTTTGACTTCTTGATGTTGAGATTCAATCCATATTGAAGACTAAAATCCTTGACCTTCTACAGCAAGTGCTTCAGGTCTTCTTCAGTTTCAGCAAGCAAGGCTGTGTCATCTGCATAATGTAGGTTGTTAATGAGTCTTCCTCCAAAATTGATGCCACATTACTTCTCATAAAGCCCTGCTACCCTAACGATCTGTTCTGTATATAGATTTAAAAGGTATGGAGACAAGATGTGTCCTTAACTCACTCCTTTCCTGATTTTGAACCATGCAGTGTTTGCTTGCTCTGTTCTGATGACTGCTTCCTAATCAAAGTATAGGTTTTGCATAAGGACAATCAAGTGTTCTGGAATTCCCCTTCTCATCAAGTTTGTAATCCACACAATCAAATGCCTTTGCATAGCCAATGATAGATAGTTCCTTTGGTACTCTTTGCTTTCTTCCTAGATTCGTATGACATTGGTAGATATGACAACTGTGGCCGAGTCCTCAAATTTGGAAACACAAAGGAGGAGGAATAGTTGTAAGCAGAAACTAATGATTGGAATGTGAAATGTGAAATTATGTATGTAGGGAAACTAGGCATTGTTAAGAAAGAAATGGAAAAACAACAGACATTAGTGAGCTGAAATGAACTGGTTTTGGTTGATTTTGATTAGTTGGATCATATGATCTACTATGTCAAGAACTACAGATTAGAGATGTGTAGCAACAAATTAATGTACATAAAGAGTATTTCAAAGCTTTGTGTAACATACTTTGGGTATTTTGAAAGGATAGACCAGTTCTTGGAAAAGGATATTATTCTTGGGAGGGTGAGGTATAGCACAAGAGAGGAAGACACTTGATGAGATGGGTTGATTGAGTGACTGGGGTAATAGGAGTAGGTGTTTCAAAGACAATAAATTTGGAACAGGATAGAGCAGTATTAAGGGCTATTGTACATAGGGTTCCTATGTGTCACAAGCAATTTAATGGTACATAACAACAACAAACTTTAAATATAGTGCCATCTGTGATATAATAATATATGTATATATACCTATAAGAAAGTCCAGTAAATTAAGCCATTGTCCAAATTTATGTACCAACCACTAATATCCAAGGGGAAGACTGAAGATTTGTATCAACTTCTGCAGTCTGAAATTGATCAAACATATAATCAAGATGTATTGATAATTCCTGGTGATTGGAACTATAAAGTTAGAAACAAAAAAGAATTATCAGTAGATGTGAAAACATCAACTTGACGATAGAAACAATGCCTGCAATTGCATGATAGAATTTTTTAAGATCAATGACCTCTATCACTGGGAATTCCTTTTTTCTTTTTTAATTTTATACTATTTTATTCATGAAGTTTGAATACATTATTTTTCACAAAAGATACTTCCCATTTCCTTCAGTTCCTCCATCCATCGAATTGTGCAACCCTATGATTAATACCTCCCCCTTGCCCATCCTCACAACTCTGCTTCCACTAGACTGATGACTGAACTTATAGACCTTAACAGATGAAATACACAGGAACCAAACTATTTCTTGGGAAAACCTTAGGTTCAGTATTATTCCTTAGAACAAGGTAAGGATTAAATTGTGTTACAGACTATTAGCTGTACACCTGAAAGTTCACATTGAAGTTCAACATCTATCAATCTTTTAATCATGTGTCTTACTATCTCTATTTACATTGCAGATCACTACCTAAATGTACTATTTTGTTAAAATACTTTTTCTCTACTCCTCTGAGATAATTATTTTACTTTTGGTCACATTTTGCACTTGAGATTTATTTTCAATAGCATTTGGTTCTTGTCACCCATAATATATAACATATATTTATTCCCATTCCTAAGAAGAGAGAGCCAACTGAATGTGGAAATTATTGAATGGGGAAATTATCAAATAATATCATTGATATCACATGCTGGCAAAATACTGCTGAAGATCATTCAAAAAGTACATAGATAATTTCCAGAAGTTCAAGTGGGATTTAGAAGAGGCTGTGGCACCAGGGATACCATTACTGGTTTCAGATGGATCCTGACTGAAAGTAGGAAGTACCAGAAGAATGTCTATTTGTGCTTTATTGACTATGTAAAGGTGTTTAACTGTGTGGACCATAACAAGTTGTGGCTGACATTGAGAAGAATGAGAAGAACACTGGATTGTGCTCATGAGGAACCTATACCTGGACCAGGAGGCTGTTGTGTAAACAGAGCAGGAGAGCATTGTCTTGTTTGGAATTGGGAAGGAAGTGTGTCAGGAATGTATTCTGTCTCCATACTTGTTCTATTTATATGTTGAGCAAATTCTCCAAGAGGCTGGACTCTATGAGGAGGAATGAAGCATCAGGATTGGAGGGAGACTCATCAATAACCTGCCTTATGCAGATGACACAACCTTCCTAGCTGAAAGTGAAGAGGATTTGAAGCACTTATTGCAGAAGACCAAGGAATGCAGCATTCGTTATGGATTGTGTCATAATATCAAGAAAACAAAGATTCTTATCACTATAGGCAGTGTCATGATGGATGAAGAACAGATTGAAACTGTCAACAGCTTCATCTTGCTTGGATCCACAGTTAACACCCTTGGGACAAGCAATCAGGAAATAAGGAGATACATTGTAATGGGAAAATCTGCAGTTAGGGACCTTTCCAAACTATTGAGGAGTAGTGATGTCAGTTTGAGGACTAAGGTGTGTCTGATTCAGGCCTTGGTCTCTCTGATTACTAGCTATGCCTCTGAGACCTGGACAGTGAATAAAGATGAAAGAAAGAGAATTGATGCCTTTGAGCTGTGGTGTTGGAGAAGATCATTGAACATTCCATGGACAGCTAAGAAAACAAATAGATATGTGTTGGATAGGGTGCAGCCGCAGTGCTCTTTGTAGATAAGAATGACAAGGCTTTGCCTCACATACTTGGAACATATTGCTCAGAGGTGCTGTTCCTTGGAGAGAGAAATGATGCGGGGAAGGGCGGAGGGTCGGCGAAGGATAGGAAAACTCTCAACTAGGTGGATTGACAGGGTGACTGCTGCAATGGGCTCTCGTATGTCAGGAAGTGTGAGGATGGCCCAGGACAGAACTAGGTTCAGATCTTTTGTCCATAGGGTGGCTATGAGTCATACTCAACTTGATGGTACCTAACAACAACAACAACAACAACAGCAGCATATTATCTATATCTAATATGATATACATAAAAATAACCTTAATTCCAACTCATGGCAACCCCACGGGTTCAAACATGAAGCTATATGATTTTCTTGACTTTTAACTTATGGAAGTGCATCATCTGGCCATTTTTAAGTCCATTATGGAGGCTAGTTTGTCAAGCATAAACCATTTTTATCACTCATTTCCTATTTCTACTTTCTAGGCTCAAAGTGAAACCTGATTCTGAGGTGCATTATTCCTTTTTTTCTCACTGACATCACATTGGCACTGACTAACATGTGACCCTCAATTAGATTTCTGAGGCTGTAAAATTACGCTGGAGGAGATAGCCCTCCTTTCTCCCTCAGAGCCTCTGGTAGATTCAAACCATAAGAGAGACTTGACTTTTGGGTTAGCAGTGTAACTTGTTGCAGAAAACATATGCATGAAGTGGTATATGTAGTCCCAGGGTGAAATGACCAGTTGAAATGCTCATATCTTCAGCTTCTAATCAAAAGGTTTGAGTCCATCCCAAGTGCTTCAAAAGAATGACCTGACAGCCTGTTTCTGAAAATCAACCACTGAAAAACCTAAGGGCCACAGTCCTATTCTGACACACATGGCGTTGCCATGACTCAGAGTTGTGACTGGTGATTTGTAAGGTGGCATCTATATCTTCAGAGACCCAGAAGTGTCTTAGCTCATTTAAACAAACAATCATGTCCTATCCAGGATGGGCTGGGTATAATCATAGGGTTGCACAATTTGATGGGTGGAGGGAGATGTAGGTAAAGGAAATTGGGAAAGATCCAGTGTGGAAAAACAATGTATGAGAACTTTGTGAGTAAACCAGTATAAAATAAAAATCCTTAATGTCATTTGGTTTCAAGTGTTCTGTGACAATGTGTTGTGTGGGAGTTTATTTATTTTCATGAACTATTGTGACTTCATCATCTATGATTCCCTAACTAACACTGACAGTACTTTGTATTGTACTTATTTATTTTTGAGAAATTTAAACGTAGATCTTCTAATTGGATAAAATAACAAATGGGGTGTTGTGGTTTTTTCTCCATTTTGATAGCACCAGGTGAAGTAAAAAACTTGGAGGCCATTCTGAAACCACCTAACAGTGTTACAGTGAAATGTGAGGCTCCTGCTTTAAAAAATGGTCCCAGTGAATTGTACGTATTAAAGGTGAATTTACAAGGAGAGAGTGTAAAAAAGGAGAATAAAAGCAAATGCTTATTCAAGGTAGAACATCTTTACTATTCAACAGAATACAAGTTTGAGGTAAGATTATATGTTCTGTAAACACTATAATACAGATGTGCTCTATAAGTTATTCTTTTACCAGAATGATGCTTAGATGAGCTTGAAATATTCTTGAATCTGTTGTAAAATGCTCCAAAATTCTTGGAAATTTGTGTTGCAAACTTTTTATCCAGTGGTGTTTCAGTGGCTGTAAATTCCACGGAAGGAGATTGATTATCTTTCTCCTGAGGAACATATGGTTAATTCAAACAATGTGCCTTTGGGTTAACAGTGCAACTCCTTACTATTCAGCCACCAGAGCTCCCTGGAGCTCTGCTGGTGTAGGCCATAGAAAGCTACTTGGCCCTCCAAAATTTCATGTCTTTCTGACAGTTCAAATCCACCAGCTGCTGCACCAGAGAAATATGGCCAACCTCTTTGGTATGATTTACAGTTCCTGAAAACTCACTGTAGGGTCAGTGTCAAAGCTGAGTCAGTTCTGATTTGACAGCATTGACTTTGACTTTGGACTTATAAATCTAGAATGCAATTTATATTTATTACTTGTACAACTTTATGGTTAGTATATCATCATCATTTTAAATATTCATCTGTATTTTCCATATATCCCTGTTTCTTGTTATGCACCGTTGAGTTGAAACCAACTCATAGATGACCTTCAAGCGGGTTTTCAGAGGCAGTTAATGGCATGGGAGGCGACTGCCCATCCTTCTCCCTCAGAGAGGCTGGTGGCCTTGAACCGTGTGCCTTCAGTATCGCAGTGCAGCTTCTTGCCACTAGGACACCAGAGCTCACATTTATCACTATTTATTTTTAAGATCTTTCCCTATTAAATGTTGTTGTTGTAGTTGATCTGTGTCATTGAGTCACCTGTAAGCCAGAACAACCCTGTGTACAATAGGTCTGAACGCTGACCTATCCTGAGCCAATCTCACTGTTCCTGACACACCAAGTCCTATTACACGAGTCACCGTGTCAATCCATCTCATCTAGGGTCTTCCTTTACTGTACTGTCCCTTGACCCTTCCAAGCAAGATACCCTTCTCTAAGGACTGGTCCTTCCTAGCAATATGCCCAAAGTATGTGAGATAAAAGCTTCAAAATCCTTGCCTCTAGAGAGTAACTTGGTTACATTCTCTCCAGTACTAATCTGTTTGTTCTCTTGGCAGCCCATGGTATGTTCAATACTCTTCTCCAACACGACAGCTCAAAGGCATACATTCTTCTCTCATTCTTATTTCTTGTTCAGCTCTTTTTAAATGTTATGTAGAATCCTGTCATCTATTTGTACCATGTTAATGTTTACTATTTGTAATAGGAGCAAGGTCCATATGGCAACGTGGAAAAGATAAGTTCTACCTATACTAACTTCATATAACTTCATAAATTGGAGTTGTCCTCATCAGTCACAGACACTGATCTCTGTAATGTTGTATATGTCCTCCTGTCCCATAGCGTCATGCTCCAGTGCACCTACTTCTCCTACTCAGAGGGTTTTATGTCAGTTACAAATTGATTCACAGACTTGACTTTGCTCACAGTTGAGGAATTTATTAGGGAAACATTTTGAGTAGTGGGGAAGGCAAAGGTTATTACATAGTGCAAGTTCAGGTTTAGTGAAAAGCAGCCCCAAGACAGATTAACAGTCTGACACAATTCCTCAATTAGTTCAGACAGCTTCTCAGACAACAAGTGAAAGTCCAGGTTCAAGCTAGCAGAAAAAAATGCAAGAAGTTTCTTGTTTCCTCAATTGTTCAGGATCCTTTGTCTCTTAGAAGTTAGCTCTTCTTCCTTCAGTCATCTAGCAAACAAAATCTTTAATTCTGGCTCCCTCAAGCTACATTTTGCTCCAGTTTCTCTATAGTCTTGTCAGTTCTCTCTCTTATGTTGGCCTCACAGATGTTATGATATAGAAAAAGCTGTTTTACAGAAAACCATGTGTCAACAGTTGAGGCTTCTAGTGACCACATCCCTGAGGGAGGGAGGCTAAGGCAGTGAATAAGAGAAGCCATTTTTCAAAAGTTTAACACCACACTATGTTAAGAAGTTCTAGTGGAGTAGTAAGTCACATATTCAGAAGCAACCACTCACAGGGTACAGATAGATAATCTGCTCTCTGCTTCCTGATAGATTTGTGTCTTTAGAAACCCCGTCTGAGTTAGAATCCTCACTATGATTCAGAATTCATTCAATGACAATGAGGTATTTGTTTCTTTGTTTTCTATCTTATGTTGGTTGCTATATTATAAATAAATTTTCTTAGAGGTAAACATAAAAAATGTTACCCTCTTTTATCATTGAGTCTTTTATCAATGAAATGTTTATAATTCCATTTGAAATTAAATTGTTGGATCAAAAGGGGGAAAATGTGTTTTGTTGTGGTGGTGGTAATGTGCTTTCGAGTCACCTGCAACTCATAGTGATTACACACAACAGCTCTATCCTGAGCCAGTTAACTGGCTCTGTAGACCTAATCCCATTGCCCCAGCTATCATGTCATTCTATCTTCTCCAGGGTTTTTTTCTCCTGTGCTGTCCCTCTACCCTTCCAAGTATGATGCCCTTCTCCAAGGACTTGTCACTCCTGGCCACGTGCCCAGCTTATGTGAGATGGCTATTCAAAATCCTAGCCTCCAAGAAGAAACTTGTTTTCACCCTTTCTAAGACAGACCTAGTTGTTCTCCTAGTGGTCTATGGTATGTTTAATTCTCATCTCTAGCACCACAACTAAAAGGCATTATTTCTTCTGTCAACCTTAGTCATTGTTCAGCTCTCTGATGCATAGCAAGTAATTGTAAAGACTATGGCCTGGATCAGGCACACTTTAGTCTCTAGGCTGACATCATTACTCCTCAGTACTCTGGAGAGGTCCGTGAGAGCATACTTCCTCAATGCAACTTGTCTTTTGATTTTCTGATGCTGGTTTCATAGCCTCAGTCTCTTCTCCATCCATCATGGTGCTGACAATTGGCTTCATGGTGAGAATATTTGTCTTCTTGATGATGTTGAGCTTCAATCCATACTGAAGACTACAGTCCTTGTTCTTTTTTCAGCAAGTGCTTCAGATCCTCCTCAGTTTCAGGTAGCAAGGTTGTATCATCTTCATAACATAGGTTGTTAACGATTCTTCCTCCAATCCTGATGCCAAACTCCTCCTCATAAAGATGAATCTTTTGAATGATTTGTTCTGCATATTGAAAAGATACGGAGATAGGATGCTTCCTTGCTCTGCTGTAATGACTGCCTCCTGGTCTAAGCACAGGCTTCAAATGAGCACAATCAAGTGTTCTGGAAGCCTCACTGTCCTCAAACTTAGTCACAATTTATTGTGATCTACATAGCCAGTGAAGCACATATAGACAATTCTCTGGTACCCTTTGCTTTCAGCCAAAATCCATCTGACATTAACAATAATGTGTCTGGGGCCATGGCTTCTTCTAAAACCAGCTTATATTTTTGGTAGTTCTCTACCAATATACTGTTCCAGAAGGTTCTGAATATTTTTCAGCAGGATTTTCCTGTGTTATATTGGTGATGCTATTGTTAGGTATTGTTGAGTACAATGCATAGTAATCCTATGAACAAAAGATCTGAACTCTGTTTTATCCTGTGCCATCTTCACACTTCTTGACATAAAATGAGGTGTGTGTGGGGTGTTTGTTAATAATAGTGTTGCACAATTTGATGGGTGGAGGGAAGGATGGGTAAAGGAAAGGAGAAAGATCTGGTGAGCCAAGATATAACAAAAAATTATTTATAAAAAATAAAGGAACCCATTGCAGCAGTCACAATGTCAATCTTATCTGGTCAAGGGTCTTCCTCTCCTCGCCCAACCCTCTACCCTTCCTAGCATCATGTCCTTCTTCAAGGAGTAGATCCTCCCAGCAACATGACCAAAGTATATGAGTTGAAGCCTTATCATTCTTGCTTCCAAAGAGCACTGGCTGCACCCTCTCCAAGACAAATCTGCTTGTTCTTTTGGTTGTCCAGGGGATGTTCAGTGCTCTTCTCCAACACCACAGCTCAAGGCACCAATTCTTCTTCTGTCATCCATATTAATTGTCTAGCTCTCAAGTGCATAGCAAGTGATTGAAAAGTCTATGTCCTGAAACAGGTGCACCTTAGTCCTCAAACTGACATCATTAATCTTCAATATTTTGGATAGATTCCTAACTGTAAAATTTCCCAATGCAATGTGTCTCTTTATTTCCTGAGCGCTGGTACCAAGGGTGTTAATTGTTGATCCAAGCAAGATGAAGGCGTGGACAGTTTCTATCTCCTCTCCATCCATTATGATGTTGCCTGTTGGTCCAATGGTAAAAATATGTGTTTTCTTGACATTGAGATGCAATGCACCCTGAAGGCTATATTGCTTGATTCTGCAGCAAGTGCTTCAAGTCCTCCTCACTTTCCGCAAGCAAGGTTGTGTCATGCATAATCAGATTATTGATTTTTTTTGTAATTTCTATACTCTGCCAGATCACCTAGGAATAAATATGGATCTCTTCCAGCCAGTTGGCCAGGCAGTTGTCTTCCAGATTTCTTGGCACAACTTGGTTTTTTTTTTTTTCTTGGCACAACTTGTGAGCACGCCCATGGCAACATCTATTTGTTGAAATATGTCAGTTGGTTTGCCTTCAATTCTTGGGGTCTTGTTTTTTGCCAAGTCCTTCAGTGTAGCTTGTACTTCCTTCATCATCACCATTGCCTCTTGATCATAGGTTGTTTCATGAAATTCTTCTGTGTCAGGCAATTATTTTTGGTAGAGTTACTCTGTATACTCCTTCCATCTTCTTTTAATGCTTCCTAAATCATGTAATATTCTGCGCATGGCTTCCTTAAATATTGCAATGCGAGGCTTGAATTTATTGTTTAGTTCCTTCAACTGAAGAAATACTAAATGAATTCAATATGGACAAATTCTCAGGGAATTGTTACATTCCTTCCCATGGCCCCCAAATTATTGTATTTCTAGATATTTTTAACTGTTTAGAGTGAGTTTGGGCATTTATGTTGTTGTTGCTATGTTCTGTTGAGTCACCTGAGACCCATAACAACCCTATGAACAGCAGCTCTGAAGCCTGCCCTGTCCTGAGGCAGTCTCACTGACCACAACCTACCAACTTCTATTGCCCCGGTTACTATATTAATCCATCTTATCTGGGGTGTTCCTCTTCTTCATTGTCCCTTCACCCTTCTGAGCATAATGCCCTGCTCCAAGGACCAGTCCCTCCTGCCCAAAAGTATAAGAGACAGAGTTTCAATATCCTAGCCTCCAAGCAGAAACTTGGTTTAAACTTCTCAAAACCAGACATATTTGCTTTCTTGGTGATCCATGGTATGTTCAAAACAGACTTATTTGTTTTCTTGGTAGTCCATGGTATGTTCTAGACTCTTCTCCAGCACAATAACTCAAAGGCATCAATTCTTCTGTCAACCTCAGTTATTGTCCAGCTCTCTGATGCGTAGCAAGTAACTGTAAAGACCATGGCCCAGATTAGGTGCACCTTAGTTTCTAGACCGACATCGTTGTTTTTCAGTATTCTGGAGAGGCCTCTGACAGAAGATTTTCCTAGTATAATTTGTCTTTTGATTTCCTGACTGCTGGTGCCAACACTGTTGATTGTGTATTTGAGCAAACTCTAATTGTTAACAACCTCAACCTCTTCTCCATATATCATGGTGCTGACAACTGGCCCAGTGGTGAGAAGCTTTGTCTTCTTGATTTTGAGCTTCAATCCATCTTGAAGACAATAGTCTTTGACTTTTTTCAGCAAGTGATCAGGCCCTCCTCTGTCTCAGCAAGCAAGGTTGTGTCATATGCATAGCATAGGTTGTTGATGAGTCTTCTCCAATCCTAATTCCACATTCCTTCTTAAAAAGTCCAGCTTCCCAAATGATCTGTTCTGCATATAGATTGAAAAGGTATAGAGACAAGATGCATCCCTGACACACTCCTTTCCCTGTTTTAAATCATGCAGTATTTTCTTGTTTTGTTTTGAAGACTGCTTCCTGGTCCAAGTGTAAGTTTCACAGTTAGCCTCAGTTTATAGCCTCCGTTTAAAAAAAAGTTTGTATTGTTACTATAGCATTAACTGTCTATCTCACTGCTTCCCTATTTCCCACTCAGTTCCAGGCAGCCTATTCATTCTCAAATATGTGAAAATTTTTATCTCTGGACACTGCTGCATGTTCTTCTTTCTTCCTTGATTCTCTTAAGTTTGCAAATAGTTCTGTAAAAAATATAGATTAATACTGTATTAAAAGAAAACACCTTAAGATTCTAATTAAAAGATGATTATTTTGTTATCCATTTGCTCCTGTAACCTTTCAAAATTATTTTTCCATTATACTTAAAATAATTTTTTTTAACTTTTCAATTTATAGTTTTCAGAAAAAAATTTCAGTATTACTGAGCATTGTGGTTCCTGGCTAATATATTATTAATTAAATAATTATTTAATTAATTTAAAAAGAAATTGTTTATTAAGACAAATTATTGTCTTTTGTTTTTCCAGAATTTATTTTATTTTTCTAATAGATTTGAATTTAAATTTCTTTGGCCTTTGTTTTTCTCTCCTTGTTTTTACTTTTAATTAACTAAAATTCAAATAAACAAAACAAGATTAAGCTTGGAATTGTCCATTGGTAACATTTCCTGGTGGTATTTATAGTTAAAGAGATCTCTTCTAGCTTTACTTTGGAATACAATGTTGTGAGTGACAGGATAACATCCCTATACATACAAAGAAGACCTGTTTATACCACTATCATTCAAATATATGCACCAAAAACCAGAGCCAAAGAGGAGGAAATAGATGACTTCTAACAACTTTTGTAGTCAGGAATCAATCAAACCAACAAGAATTGATTATGAGTAACTGGATTTCAAAAGTTGGAAATAGGGAAGAAGGATTGATATTCAAGAAGCATGGACTTGGTGACAGAAATTAAACTGGAGAGAGAATGACAGAATTTTGTACAATCAATGATATATTCATTGTGAATAACTTTATAAGAAACACAAACAGCAGCTGTACATATAGACTTCATCTAATGGTCTATACAGGCATCAGATTGACTACATCTGAGGGGGGGGGAATCTATGGAGAAGCTCAGTATCAGCTGTGACAACTAGGTCAGTTGCTGATTGTGGAATAGACCATCAATTTCTCATATGCAAGTTCAAACTGAAGCTAAATACAAAATTTAAAAGAACCAAAGTTTGACCTAGAATCTATCTCATCTGAATTTAAAGATTTGATGAAAGACTTAAGGCATAGAATATTAGTTGGCGAAGACTCGATGATTTGTGGAAGATATCAAGAATATAATCCATGAAGAATGCAACAGGTCATTACAAAGACAGAGGAGGAAGAAAAGACCAAGATGGACATCAGAATAGACTGAATATTTCAGAAGAGCACCAAAAAGCCAAAGCAAAGGGATGAAATAAGAAATTTTAGGAGCTCAACAGAAGATTTCAAAGGGCAGCTTGGGAAGACAAAGCAAAGTATTATAATCAAATATGTAAAGAACTGGAGTTGGAAAATCAAAAGCGACAAACTCACTTGGTATTTGTTAAGCTGAGGAATTGAAGAACAAGTTTAAGTCTTAATTTGGAATACTTTAGGAGGCTGAGGCAAGAATGTTGAACATCCCAGGAAGCATCAAAAGAAGATGGAGTCATTGTACCAAAAATAATTGGCTGACACAAGATAATTTCATGAAACAATTTATGTTCAAGAGGCAATGGTGATTAAGGAGGAAGATGAAGCTGCTCTGAAGGAATTGATAAAAAATAAAGCCCCAGGAATTGAGGGCAAACCAATTGACATATTTTAATGAATAAATGTTGCCCTGGATGTACTTACCTGGTTGTGCCAGGAAATCTGGAGGACAACTCTCTGTCCAACTGACTGGGAAAGATACATATTTATTCCCATTTAAAAAAAAAAAAAGGTGAACTGATAGAGTGTGTAAATCATCAAACAGCATAACTAATATCACACGCAAGCAAGATCATGCTGAAGATGATTCAAAAATTACTATTTCAGCAGAGAACTACTGGTTGTGCAAGCTGGGTTTAGAAGATGCTGTGACATTATGAATATTATATCCAATGTTAGATAGACCTTATACAAAAGCAGAGAGTACCAGAGGAATATCTGTCTGTGTTTAATTGAGTATACAGAGACATTTGACTGTGTGGATTGCAAAAATATTATTGTTAACTTTTAGAAGGATGGGAAATTTAAAACACTTGATTGTTCTTATTTGAAACTTTTACTTGGACCAGGAAGCCATTATCAGAACAGAACAAGGAAACACCTCATGGTTCAGAATCAGGAATGGTGTGCACCAGTGATGGATCCTATCTCCATACCTTTTCAATCTAATGTGGAAAAGATCAGCTGGGAGGCTGGGCTTTATGAGGAGGAATATAGTATTAGGATTGGAGGAAGACTTACCAATAATCTGCATTATGCAGATGATACAACCTTGCTTGCTGAAACTGCGGAGGGCATGAGATATTTGTTGTAGATGGTCAATGACTGCAATATTCAATATAGATTGAAACTCAATGTCAAGAAACAAAGATCCTTACCACTGGACTAATTGGCAGCATCATTATAGAGAAGAGTGTTGTTGATTGTGAACAATTTTAGCTTGCTGGGTTCCACAATCAACATTCTTGGCACCAGCAGTCAGGAAATAAAAAGATTAATTGCATTAGAAAGTCTTCTGTCAGGTACTTCTCTTGATTAGAAGACCAACAAAGTCAGTCTGGAAAGTAAAGTGCACCTGATCCAGGCCTTGGTCTTTGCAATTACATCAGGGAGCTAAACAATGACTAAGGATGCTAGAAAAAGAATTGATGTTTTTGTCTTCTGATGCTGGAGAACAGTGTTGGACATATTGTGGACAGCCAAGAGAATAAACAAATCTGTCCTAGAGAACATGAATCCAAGTCTCTCTTTGGAGGCAAGGATTTTGAAGCTCTGTCTCACATATTTTTGCCATGTTGCCAAGAGGGATAAGTCCTTGGAGAAGTAGATCATGCTCAGAAGTTTGGAAGGACAGCACAAGAGAAAAAAAGACCTGGAGAGGAATGGAGTAACTCAGTGAATGGGAATAGGTTTGTCAGAGATGATGAGATTGGCTTAGGATAGGGCAGGGTTCAGAGCAATTGTACATAGGGATAGTATGAGTTGCAGGCTACTTGATGGCACATAACAACGGCAATAACATTTCCCTGTGTCCTACAATAGTTTTTGTCACTTATTTATAGTACCTGTACATACAATTTAATAAATTGTTTTTTGAAATGTAATTCTATTGTAAGTAACTTTTTTTTAGTTTGGATTTCTAAAAACATAACTTGGAAATTTTTTAATGGATGTACTATTTAAGAGGATGGTTTACAACTTTGTAATTGCAATTTTATTGGTATTAGTTATCTATATATAAAAAAAATTTGGTCATCTGATATTTCTATATTCTGTTTTTTTTTAGGAAATACTAGACTGCCTTCCATAGTGGTTGTATAGCTTTTCAAACCCATCAGCCATGCATAAGATATTTTATTTATTTTTTCTAATTATGATTACTGATTAAAGGGCAAAACATTTTGTATATCATATTGTTCCAAATTACATTCTTGTATAAAATATTTGACAACACAAACTTAAATTATCTTGAAATTTCAGCTTTTAACTTAGAGAAACCCAAAGTGAAATAAAAGTATAAAAATATATAAAAATAAGGAACATTGAATGATATAGATCATATAGGCTGTTCATTACCATATGTGTCCATTAGAAAGCTAATTTCTTCTCTTTTTGTTGCTAATATTTAGGTCTTTTTTTGCAATAGCCAAAAGTGTGGAGCACCAAAGTCTGCTATTCAGTCAACATCTTGTAAGTCACTACTAACCTTTTTGTTATTCTTTCTGTCTGTATAATAAAATTTTTAATTTCATTTTAAATAATAAGATGTTTAATATTTAAATATTTAACAGCTATTTCACTATCTAGCTCATTAAAATTATTTAAGTGATATCCTTTATGTACACATTATATACTGTAGACAACATATTAAAACCCAATGTCTTAAATTAAGATATTGTTGCAGTTAGGGACTGTCTCTTGCCTGACAAATAGCCCTATGTGAAAGTATAAAATTGCCCAAAGAGTTATATTTAGGAGGTAAGTGGTTGTGTTGCCATCCCAAGGACAAGTGATTCAAAACCACCAGTTGCTTCATGAAAGATGGAAAATCTCCTCCAATCAGACTTACAGTCTCTGAAAAGCCACTGGAGAATCCACTATGAGTCAGTCTTGAGAGAAAAGGAGAGAGAAGCTTTAGGGAAGCAAATCACTGGGTCTTTCTTCCACTGAAGAGCTGAGTGTGTGATTTCAAACTGCCAACTGTTTGTTAGGGATTAAGTGCTTAATTACTGCCCCATCAAATATTTAAATTCAGATTCCTAAAGCTAGAACTCATTGCATTGGATTCAGAACCAACTCATACCTGATGCATTAAGTTACTTTTCTCCTACACATATACAGTGGCTAGCATTTTTCATTAGCAGGGCAAATCCTTACAAGCTAGACCATCAGACCTCCCTCAACTGAGATTAGGAAATGAGTAATTAATTAGCAAATGGCTACTGACTTCATAAAAGAATACATAAGAAGTCATAACTTTGTAGATTATTAAATTCTGCTTTTGTGTGATATTTCTTTCATGTTAGTTTCTTTATTGCTGGTAATATTCTGAGGTTATTACATGTTTTATCTTATTTTTCCTTTCAATGTACTTTTTATAGAAGTAGATGTTAAGTGTACATTTTTATGTATTTCATTGAAATAAATTACTATAACTCTCACAACAGCAACAATATGACTGTTTAGTATTTTGCCATAAACATTGCCATTTTTTTTATCAAAATAAAGTAGCCCTTAGACAAAATAAAGCAAATTAAAATTTCATTATTTGAATAAAAATAACGGCTTTGCCACACCACTCCCTACTCATTCTCTTTTTAACAGTGTAGTCACTTGTAACAATTTACATTTCCAGCCCATTAAATACTTTCCTGTATTTATGAAAAAAAAAAGTTTCTATCTTATTCTGTCTAGAGCTATTAACTTTACTGATAACATCAGGGCTTTGTGGTAAGGAATTATGCTGCCAATGCAATAGTATGCAGTTTGAATACACCATCCACTATGGGAGAAAAAGGACATTCTCCTTTTTTGCAATTTATTGCCTCTGAAGCCACTGGAGGTTCTGACACAACGGTACACCACAACAACATTGATAGGAAAAAAGCACAAATTCACTGCTGTCTGGTAATTCTAACCAATAGCAACCTTCCCTCTGGTTTCTAAGGCTATAAATCTTTATGAGAGGAGACTGACTATTTTCTTCCAGAATACCATCTGGTAGATTTGAACCACTCATGTTTTGGTTACTGGCAAAATACATAATGGTGCAGTATTTCATAACACATAGGGCTGCTAACTAAAAGGTCAGAGGTTCAAATAAAACAGCTGCCCTGCAGAAAAAAAGATGCGAAGTCTCTTATTGTAAAGATTTACAACTTTAGAAACTTAATGGAGGGTTGCTTTTGAGTAGCAATCAGTAGATTTTGGTGTTACTGATATAAACGAACCCTGATGGTACCATGTTTAAAATATTAACCTGCAAAGCAAAAGATTGGTTATGTGCCTCTACCAGACACTCCACAGGCTACAAATGTTGAATCTGCTTTTGTAAAGATTTACAACATTGAAAACTTTTATGGTTGTTGTTGTGAGTCAGAACTGACCCATAGCTGACCCTCTCTCTGGTGGGTTTACAGAGGCCGTTAATCAATCATACAGGAGGAAATTACTCATCTTTCTTCCGCGGAGCAGCTAGTGGCCTCAAACCACATGCCTTCTGATTGCAGTGCAGCTTTTTGAGACTAAGCCCCTATACCACTCCCAATTAAGAGTAGTTCGAAATGTTCTTTAGGCAGACTGAGCCCCAAACCAACTGATTGCAATGGTTTGTGTTAATTGATAGGATTCTAAGCAGAGAGAACACTGAGTACATAGCTTTAAACTTTGTCAATTTGTTTACTCCTTAGGTGAAATCCAATAATTTAAACTTCTGTATGCTGTGTGATCAACCCTAGTCTATTTCTGTTATTGTCATTACCATTTATCTGACCTTCTGTCTTGCATACACATGCACAAACATAATCACTGAAAGTTTATTTTCCAAAGTCAAGAAGACTTGCAAAAAATAACTTATTTTCCAAACTACTTTACAAATTTCTATGAAGTGTTAAATGCAAAATATAAAGACTATACTAGTATACATTATACAAATGTGTTGGTGATCCATTTCCACATTAAAGTTTTCTTTTCATTGAATCCTTCTTTTATTATGTAAATAATTTTTAGCAGTTTTGGAGTCTTAGACTCAAAGGAGTGTTTCAAACTCACACACCTATATAGGCTATTTAAAATGTCTGTCAGTCTACCATCACCTAGATACTGTTATCTGACTCTCACAGAAATGAAACCAACAGGATGGAAGACTTTATTTGTGTGGTAGGGAAAACTCTGATTTAGAAGTTCCCTATTCCAAATAAGAAACAGTATGTGAAAGCTGGGTGATTTCCTTCCAAAATATTTTGTTCATTGAAAATCCTATACACAGCATGGTTGTATTTGACACTCATGGGATCACCATAAATCAGAATTGACTTGGTGATAACTGAGGATTTTGTTTTTATTCTCTAATAACATTCTCATGACCAAAACTTTCAGAGATGTCAGTGAAGGTATGTCCAGTTACCAAAGGGTGGTACTTCTGGAAATCTCAAAGCAACAACTTCCCAAGATAATTTTGTCATTGTGAACTATCTAGTTGGAATGTGCTAATAGCTGACTCTCCAGAGTGTTTTCAGAGACTGTTAATCACATAGGAAATTACCACTAGGCCACCGGAGCTCCCTAAGTGGATGCAGTTCAAATATAAATCTTCCTATCCGGATGGAGTTTAACAGTCAGATATTCTTTTATTCGTATAGCCCTCTAATTCTGTGTTTACAACTGGATGCCTAATAATGATTTTAAAGTTTCAAATCTCACAGCCTTGCTGATTCCAGTTAATTCCAATTCCATTTAGCCATTTACCTCCCACTTCAGAGCTACTGATAGTCTAGTGGTAAGGAGTGGGCTGTCATTCCAAAGGCACACAGTTTGACTTCACCAGCCACTCCACAGGAGGAAGATGAGCAATGTACAGCCTCTGAAAACCTACTGGAGGCTCAGATATGAGTCAGTCTGAGTCAACAATGGAACAACACAACACACAGAACAACAATGACAACAACAGAGTTACTAACTAGTCTGACTATTTTCACCTCTGGCCTAGAATATAGCATTCTCATGAAATTGTCTTACAAATGCTTGTAAAACATGAATGAAACTATATAACTCTAATAAAAAAGCTAGCAGAGGCTATAATTTCCCACAATGTAAAATCTGAAATATTCTTAAAATATTTTAAAAAGCTGAAATAATCAGATCCTCTCACGTCACATCTCCTACTGTCCTCCTCCTCACTTATTTCTTTCCAGTCTCATTGGAATTTTTGCTATTTTTTCCTACTCTTGAGTCCTCATCTTGGGAGTCCCTTTGCCTAGAATACAAACTTCTGGGTATTAGCTTGCCTAACTCCCTTACCTCAGTGAATGTCCCTGACATATCTGATCATTTTCTTGATGTAATCTAGTACTCCTCATAGCCTCCGATGTCCTTATCATTTTCCTTTTTATCTTTGCACCTTGTCTTCTAAGCTACTTTATAATTTTTTTATTTCTTATATTTATTGTTTATTATCTGCCATCTTCACTGGAAGATAAGTTCATGAGAGCGAAGGATCCTTGGCTTGTTCTCTTACGTTTCCTAAATGACTAGAACAGAACTTGGGTCACAGTAACACTAAAAAATATTTTTAATAGTGTATATTGTATGTAGAGTTCAGTAAGAACAACAATCTGACCCTCAGACAGGTTTTTCAGACAGTGAATTGCACAGATAGAAATAGCCCATCATTTTTCCATGCAATAGTTGGTTGATTTGAACTGTTAGCCATTGGACTGGCTGTGCAACTCTTTACTACTGTTACTGGAGCTCCCTAATAATTTATAGTTAATACCTAACTGTGTTCCAGGATGTTTTCCAAGTGTTTACTCAAAATCTATTCATTTAACCATAGTTTAGGAGCTGAGGAAACGTAGACATGAACATAACAGGAATTCTTTGTGACCAGAGTCCCAACCAGGAAGGTGTATAGCTAGGATCTGAACCTGAGAAGACTGCTCTTTAAGTGGCTCTATTTATGTGTATGAAAAGCAAGTGCACTTCTGCATATAATACTTAACAATGTGGCTTTCTTTTTGAGAATTATACCAAGTAGATTATCTCTTTGATATTTTCGAAACGACTCACTGAGCAAAAGAGAATGGAACCAAAACAATATTATTTTCATAAAAGAACACTATTTAAAAGAACTCTGGTTGCCTGGTGGTAAAGGACTTGCAATGCCAACTCAAGGGCAGGTGATCCAAATTTACCAGTTGCTTCAAGGGACAAAGATAAGCAATCTCCTCCATGTGATTTACAGCTTTTAAAAACCCACTGGAGGGTCAGTTATGAGTGGGTTTCTATTCTGTGACAATGAGCTGCTTGTTATTTAAACAAAAGCAAGAACGTTACTCTTCTAGATCTAAATTGCTCTCTTTACATATAAATGAGGGGGTTTGGTCCTGCATGGTTTATATAAAATTTACAAAATCGAGAATTTATTTTCTTTTTTGCTATTATAAAACCTCTAATAATTGAAAACATAAAATATATGAGCTTTTTGGAGAACACTTTATTTCTTTTATTTAATATATACACATAATTTTCTTTATTCTTTAAAAAAATCTTCCTTTATAACTTTTTAAAAAAGATTTTATTTTTTGTTGGTTTACATGCAGCAATTTGTTTATTATTATATTTCATTCATTCATATTGTTTTAATACATGAACTTCTACAGTTCTTTTTCAAATAATCTAACAAAATATTTAATATAATAAGATTTCCGAATGTGTTTTTCTTCATTTCTAGATAATGATAAAGCACTGATAATATTTCTGGTATTTCTGATTGTTGTGACATCAATAGCCTTGCTTGTTGTTCTCTACAAAATCTATGACCTGCATAAGAGAAGATCTTGGTAAGAGCTGCTTTAAAAAAAGAAATGACAATAACTATGCAAGCATAAAGAATGAACCAGATAAGAGAGAAAAAAAATGTAATTTCCGTCAGCATAATTTGAAGTTCATTTGACAATTGAACTTAAAAAAACCAAACAAAAACAGCAACAACCTAACATTAACTCTGCTTTTATATTTCTAATTTTTGTTGGGTTTTCTTTTTTCCATTATTTCTAATTATATTTTAATAATTTTAAATAAAATATAATTTTTAATCTTATTTTATAAAATCAATCACCATTAGACCTTGCCCATTGCCTTTTTGCCTGGATCCCTAGCATATGCTTCCCCTACCTCCCTCCACCCACCAAACTGTGCAGCCCTGTGGTTTCACCACTACCTATCTTCACCGCTTTACTCCCTAACCCCTAGAGTTCCTGTACATGTTTTACTAGTTATCTTTCTATTTTTACAATAATGGTCTTATTCAGTATTTGTTCTTACGAAGCTGTGTTAATTCACTCTGCATAATGCTCTTCAAACTCTCCTGAGTTATGTAGTTGTTGTTACGTGCCATTGAGTTACTTGTGACTCTTAGCGACCCTATGTTCAAGAGCCCTAAACGCCGTTCTATCCTGTGCCAACCTCACTGTCTCAAACACACTCATTCCCACCACTCCACTCACAGAATCGATCCATCTCATCGAGAGTCTTCCTCTCCTCTGCCATCCCTCCACTCTCCCAAACATGATGTCCCTCTCCAAGAACCAGTCCCTCCTTGCAGCATGCCCAAAGTATGTCAGGCGAAGCTTTAGAGTCCTTGACTCCAAGGAGCATTCTGGATTCACCCTTTCTAGGACAAACCTGTTTGTTCTCCTAGCAGTCCATGGTATATTCAACACTGTTTTCCAGCACCACAGCTCAAAGGTATCAATTCTCTTTCTATTATTCCTAGTCACTGTCCAACTCTCTGATGCATAGCAAGTAATTGCCAAGACCATAGCCTGGATCAGGTGCACCTTAGTCTCCAGCCTGACATCATTGCTTTTTAGTACTCTTGAGAGGTCCCTCACAGCTGACTTTTCCAATGCAATTCATCTCTTGATTTCCTGGCTGTAGTTACCAAGAGTGTTGACTGTGGAGCCAAGTAAACTAAAACTGTTAACTATCTCAATGTCTTCACTATTCATACTGATGCTGCCAATTGGCCCAGTGGTGAGAATCTTTCTTTTCTTGATGTTGAGTTTCAATACAAATTGAAGGGTGCAGTCATAGCATTTTTCAAAATTATTGCCCCGAATGCTGCATAGTACTCCATTGTGTGAATGTTCCACAATTTCTCAATCCATTCAATTGTGGTTGGACATTTAGGGTTGTTTTCATGTTCTTGTGATGGTGAATAATGTAGCTGTGAACATTTGTGTACAAGTCTTAATTTGTTTCTAAGTCCTAATTGGTGTAGATGAAATCTTAATGTTTTCTATAAATACTTATAATGCTATGAACTTCTTTTATAATGACCAGTGAAAATTTTTTGTTGCTTTAGAACGTAATAGGTAAGATATCTATAGAAAGTTTAAAAAAAAGCCAAAGAAATGGGGGAGGGAATATCTGGGGAAGCACTTATATTTCTTTCTGTGTTTATAGCCATAAGGCAGAATGGGAAGACAAAGTAAAACATTGCAATGAAATAAGCAAGGAGCTGGAGTCAGAAAATCAAAAGGGTTGAATTACTCAGCATTTCTTAAGCTCAAGGAGCTTAAGAATAAATTCAAACCTCGAGTTGCTATACTTAAGGATGCTTTGGGCAGAATATTAAATGATCCAGAAAATATTAAATGAGGGTATAAAGAATATAAAGAGTCACTGTCCCAAAAGGAATTGGCAGACACAAGAATTTCATAAAACAATATATGAGCAATAGCCTATGGAGATAAAGGAAGCTGCTTTGAAGGAAATGGCAAAAAAATAAGGCCCCAGGAATAGGTGGTATACCAATTGACATATTGCAACTAACAGATGCTTACCTACATGTGCTCACCAAGCTGTGCCAAGAAATCTGGAGGACAGCCAGCTGGCCAACTGACTGGAAGAGATCTGTATTTGTCCCCATTCCAAAGAAAAGTGACCCAACAGAGGGTGTAAATTATTGAACAATATCATTAATATCACATGAAAGCAAGATTCTGCTGAAGATTATCCAGAAATAACCGGAATAACACATCAACAGAGAACTATCAGAAGTCCAGTCTGGGTTTAGAAGGGCCGTGGTACTACAGATATTGTAACTAATGTTAGAGGGATCTTGGCTGAAAGCAGGGAATACCAGAGGAATGTTTATCTTTGGTTCGTTGATTATGCAAAGGCATTTTACTATGTGGATCACAACAAACTGTGGCTGACTCTGAGAAGAAAGGGAATCCCAGAATACCTGATCTTGTTAATGTGAAACCTATATTTGGACCAGGAGGCTGTCATCAGAACAGAACAAGGGAACACTGCATGGTTCAAAATTGGGAAGGGTGTACGCCAGGGATGTGTCCTATCTCCATAACTTTTTAACCTATATGCACAACAGATTATCCAGGAGGCTGGGCTATATGAGAAGTGTGGCATCAGGATTAATAGATGATTCATCAACAATCTGCATTATGCAGATGACACTACCCCGCTTGCTGAAACTGAAGAGGACCTGAATTGCTCGCTACAAAAGGTCAAGGACTGCAGCCTTCAATAGGGATTGAGATTCAATATCAAGAAGACAAAATCTTACCACTGGGCCAATAGGCAGCATCAGGATGGACGGTGAAGAGATTGAGATTGTTAACAGTTTTCGTTTGCTTGGTTCCACAGTCAATACTCTTGGCACCAGCAGCCAAGAAACTAAAAGACGTATCACAATGGGAAAGTCTGCTGTCAGGGACCACTCCAGAGTACTGAAGAGCAATGGTGTCTCTCTGGAGACTAAGGTGCACCTGATACAGGTCATGGTCTTTATTACTTGCTATGCATCAGAAAGCTAGACAATGGCTAGGGATGATAGAAGGAGAATTAATACCTTTGAGCTGTGTTGCTGGAGAAGAATATTGAATACACCATTGACTGCTAAGAGAACAAACAGGTTCTTCCTGGAGACGGTGAAACCAGGCTGCTCCTTGGAGGTAAGGATTCTGAAGCTTCATCTGACATGCTTTGGACATGTTGCAAGGAGGGAACGGTCCTTGGAGAGGGACATCATGCTTGGGAGGGTGGAGGGACAGTGCAGGAAAGGCAAACCCTTTATGAGGAGGATTGATACAGTGACTGGAATAATGGGGGTGAGTGAGTTGGAGACGATGAGGCTGGCACAGGACAGAGCAGGGTTTAGGGCTGTTGTACACTGAGTTTCTATGAGTCGCAGGTGACTTGATGGCACGTACAACACAACAAAATAGCCGTAAATAGCCCTAAATGCCCACACTTTACGAAGAAGAAGAACAACAATTAAATTAATGTTCACCAATACAGTCAGACTCATGGCTAGCCAATATCATTATTTTCGAGAATGCAAATATTAACATGCATTTGTATTATGCCATTTTATTCTCACAGAACAGTTGGTGTATTTGAACTAGCAATCCTTAGGTTAGCAATTCAATGTATAATGCAGTAAGCCTGCAAGAGGTCTTTAATAAAATAGTTATGTCACACATCTGAGTTTTACAGTCAATTCCTAGCTGACTTTTTTCTTGTTTCTTCCCTGTCCCTTATAACTACGTCTATTTTCTCTCATTTTATCCTAACTTCTTTCCTTCTTCCCTCCCCCAAATAGTCATTGATTAATAAATATATTGAGTACTAACTGAACCCTATCTTCCTTAAAAAAATACTTATGTTTCTTATTTCCACAGCAATTTAGATGAACAGCAGGAACTTGTTGAAAGGGGTAAGTTTGAAAATTTTTAACTGATATTTAACCCATATCTTGTATTTTAATTGATACAATTTACACAAGAGTTCAGTGTTGTTAAGTTAACCCAATTTCCTTTTTAATGAATTTTAAATTCACTTATTCAGCAATCAATATCTAGGAAATGACAAATGTATATAAATTATTGTACCAGATACAGAGAATGTTACTGTGACAGTCCATACATTCTGTTCCTAAAAAGAGTAATGTGATAAATGCCATATATTTTGGCTCTATATGTATGGCTCTACTGGGAAAAAGAAGGTGTGAAACAGTGCATGGGGAGAGGAAAATATTGATTTATATAGATATAGGGAAACACTAGATTGAAAAACAAGACAGATGAAAGATAACACTGAATTAACATTAAAGAGAGAAAAACGTGGCAAACGTTTTCAAGTTCTCAAAAGCTTAGGTGGTCAATCTCACTTGAAGGAACATTTATAGACAGAGCAATTTGACTCAGGAGGGAAAAACAAATTTCTTTTTAAAAATTTATTTCCATTTTAGTTCTTTGCTAAAACATGATTTTTGTTCTGTAAAGAGGCAGCTCTGGTGGCTTATTGATAAGTAATTATGCTGAGATTTTAAAGGCATATGGCTTGAATCCATGGCTGGTCCATGAGAGAAAGATGGACAGTCTCCTCCTATGTGATTTACTACCTCTGAAAAACCTGCTTGAAAACCTGCTGACAGCTTCAGCTTTTTCAATTCCAACCCAATGGCACATAACAAAAACAAAGCAGAGAGAGCTGGAAAAACCATAGATAGTTTCTGATAAAAATATTTGTTTTTTTTCAAGAGAAGTAAATCATCAGAAGTTTTCATCTTATTTTACTTTGTCATTGAAGGGCTTCCCAGGGGCAAGGGCAAATACAATGTCTCTGTGTAGAAGCTTAGTTTTTCTGTCTGTCATGGTACTATGTATTTACTCACTCATATCTTGATTAATCTCCTCTAGTAGAATATAAATGTTTGTGTTTTATTTACAACTAAAAATACTTACTATGTTTCATTGATTATGCAAAGCATTTACTGAGTAGATCATAACAAATTATAGATAACTTTCATAAGAAGGGGAATTCCAGAATACTTAATGGTGCTTCTCTCAAAGCTAAATAGAATAAAGGAAGACTGCTTTGCTTAAAATCTAGAAAAGTGTGTCAGGGTTTTAATCCTTTCTCTATACCTACTTAATTTGAATGTTGAGTAAATACTTGAAGAAGCTGTACTAAAATTAAAAAGAGTGTGGTGTCAGGATTAGCGTAAGATTCATAAAGAACCTGCATAATGAGATGACACAACCTTGCTTGTGGAAAGTGAAGCAGTTACTGGGAAGATCAAAGACTACAGCTTTCAATATGCGCTACATCTTAGTATCAAGATGATGAAAATCCCCACCACTGGACCAAAAGAAAGCATTATGATAGATGAAGAATGACTGACATTGTCAAAGATTTCATTTTGCTTGGATCCACAATCAACACTCATGGTAGCAACAGTAAAGAAATCAAAAGACTTGTTAGGTTGGGAAAGTTTGCGCTCAAAGACGTTTTCAAGGTGCTCAACAGACAGCAAGGATGATAGAACCCTTTGTCTTTTCAATTACTTCTCTTGCATGTAGTAGTTGGACAACAAATAAGGGAGAGTGAAGAAGAATCAATGACTGAATTGTGGTGTTGGAAAATAATACTGGGTATATTGTGGACTGCAAAATGGAATACACAAATCTCTCTTGAAGGAAGTACAACCAGAGATCTCCTTTGTCCAACTTTTAGAAGCAAGGGTGGGGTTGTCAAGAGAGATTCAAAGATGATTAGTGGTTTCTGGAGCAAGCCACAGGTAGTAGAGACTTGTTGGATAGAGAAAGGTCATGTTTGTGAAAACCTGACAATTGAAATAATAATTAATTTGTGAATGGTGATTCTATTTACTGAGATATGAAATTCTATCATAGAAAATTAGTTTCTTTTTGAACATCTTGAATTTTGAGGAACATGTAATTGTGAGTTCCCTAAGTTAGTTAGGTGCCATCAAGTCAAGTATGACTCACAGTGACCCTATGAATGAGAGATATAAACTCTTTCCTATTTTGTGCCATCTTCACACTTCCTGCCACACTAGAGCCCATTGAGTCAGGCATCGTATCAATCACATGATTGAGGAACTTCCTCTCGTTTGCTTACCCTCCACCCTTCTAAGCATCATGACCCTCTTTGCAAGGAATAGCCCCTCCTAGCAACATGCCAAAAGTATGTGAGGCGAAGCCTCCTCATCATCTTTGCCTCTAAAGAGCACTCCAGCTGCACCCTCTCCAAGACCTTTTTGTTCTTTTGGCTGACCATGGGATGGTAAGTACTCTTCTCCAACATCATAACTCTAAGGCATCAATTCTTCTGTCAGCCTTATTGATTGTCCAGCTGTGAGATGCATAGCAATTATCAGAAAGACTATGGCCTGAATCAGACACATCGTAGTCCTCAAACTGACATCATTACGCCTCAATACTTTGGAGAGCTCCCTAACTGCAGACTTTCTCAGTACAATGCATCTTCTTAATTCCTGACTGCTAGTACCAAGGCTGTTAATTGTGGATTCAAGTAAGATGACGTTTTTGACAGTTTTAATTTCTTCTTCATCCTTCATGATGTTGCTTATTGGCCCAGTTGTAAGAATCCTTGTTTTCTTGACATGGAAATGCTATCCATATTGAAGACCATATTTTTTTATCTTTTGCAACAAATGCTTCAAGTCTCCCTCACTTTCAACAAGCAAGATTGTATCATCTGCATAATACAATTTATTGATAAATCCCTCTTCAATCCCGATGCCACATTCCTCTTTATAAAGTCCAACTTCTCTAATAATTTGCTAGGTATACAGATTGAATAGATATGGAGAAGGAGTAAAACTCTGACACTTTTCACTGTTACTTTTAAGCCATGAAGTATTGGCCTGTTCTTTTCGAACAACAGTCAGGTATAGGTTTTGTATGAGCACAAGTAAGTGCTCTGGGATTCCCATAGTGAGCCACCACTTGTTAGGATCCACACAATCAAATATCTTTGTATAGTCAATGATGCACAAATAGACATTCTTCTGGTATTCTTCACTTTCAGCCAGTTCCCTAAGAATTGGTGGAAAAGAGCATAAACCTCAGGAGACAGTTTAGGTGTGAGATGTAGAATCTATTGGGTAATGGTTGAGTGGGTTTTCCCAGGAATTGTGTCTGAGAAGAAAAGAAGACTAAGGAATGAATCAGAGTTATAAGTTTAATTATAAACATTGTAAAGGTAGATATAAAACTAGTCCTGAATCTTTAATATATTTAAAGATGATGAAAAGCAACTGATGAATGTGGAGCCAATCCATGCAGATGTTTTGTTGGAAACTTACAAGAGAAAGATTGCTGATGAAGGAAGACTTTTTCTGGCTGAATTTCAGGTGTGTGCATTCTTAAAATCTGATGAGGAATCCTGTTTAATTGTCAGAATAATTGAAATTTAGAATATTTCTAGAACTGTTTTCTTTCATTATCTCATACAGTACGCCAACTTAGTCAAAGCAATTATTTATACACTAGACGCATAGAGGGTTACAAGCTCATGGTCATAGGGCATTATACCGAAAAGTAAATAATTTGAAATAATGATTTCTTGTATTCTTTACCAATTTTGAAGTTATGTCATAAAATATACTTGACTGACTTTGGATGTGTATTCTAGACAGGCACTTAAAGATACGTATCAAAACGGTTGTTAAAGTGGCAGTGATTAATTCTAAAGTACTCTTTTGTGAGCTTAATATTCTTTGTAATCCACCATTAACTTTTTAAGGAAAACAAGGCTTTTATATTTCTATAATTCCCAACAAGATTAAATTTAATTACTATATGCAACTTGTTTATCAGTATAAAGGAAATATATTACAGGACATTTCATTTTCTCAAATGATAACTGACAAGGGGAGAGGATTGTCTTCCCTGGATCTGCTGTGACTCCAAGAAACTTTGTGTGTTTCAGAGCATACCACGAGTGTTCAGCAAGTTTTCTATCAAGGATGCTCGGAAGTCCTTCAACCAGAATAAAAACCGTTATGTTGACATCCTTCCTTGTAAGTAGTCATTGCAAATTGAGTTACCAAATACTGATGCTACTCAGTTGTTTGACATTCAACTTACTTTCTTTACTCTAAACAGATGATTATAACCGTGTGGAACTCTCTGAGATAAATGGCGACCCAGGGTCAAATTATATAAATGCCAGTTACATTGATGTGAGTAAAATGACATCATTTTCCTGTTGATGATTTTAATTTTTTTTAACTTTGTACTCAATTTATCTCTTTTATCATCTTTGGAAATTCTTTGAAATATTATTTTAAATACTTGAAATAAATCCATTATGTTACTGATACAAAGAACAAAATCACTAATATTAATATGAATAGCTGTATAACATTTGTCTACTGAGCACATAACAATAGCTGTTATTATACATAATCTCAGGGTTTTCTATACTAACAAAATGATACTAATAATGAGCATATTCCAGTGGCCCATTATGTGATAGATATTAAAATAGGTGATTTGTACATATATTTATAGTAACAGCCTCACCCTTGTCTCAGACACGTGTGTTACGCTTCTTTGTATAGGTGGGCGGCTGGAATATTCTAGTAAATTCTGTTGACTTGTGATTCTTTTTGTTGCTACAGATCATCTATTCTTTGGAGATATCTCCAAATGTATTTACTGATATCTGATAGATTGAATCAAAGTATGTTAAAATATTATTTTTAAATTATTAAATTTTATTAGTTTTAATGAACATTTACAGGGATTTTGGGTTTTCATTCCTTCACTGCTGCACCAATCTATCTACCCTCCTCCCCAGTTTGTTCTTCTTCTCCCACCATCCGAATGTCTGTTTTAATTGTCCAATTGCCACAGTGCTTGTCAACGTCAGTTCTGATTAATCTCCTTTGTCAGTGTGTCCTTTGCCATTCCCT